TATCAATTAAAATATCAATATAGACAACTGTATTCATTTCCAAAGAAAAAGTATATTACTAAAAATTTATACAATCAAATCATATTATTCTGTCATAAGTATAAAAGAATATCTAATATAATAAGAATCTAAACCTAAAGGGTCATGACCAATCTCACACTCCTACTCTCTTATCTTGATAATAAATTATTTAACCATATATAATAAGCTCAAGTGCACAACAAATAACTAAATCTTATAATTGAACTCAAAGCATGACAAAGGAGCAATATGCATGTCCATAATCAAATCATAACAGTAACATTAATATAATCACAAATCAATACAAAAATAGTAAAATATACGTGCAGTGGCAATAAAGTCTATAACAAGTAAAACAATACAATACGAAAACTAGTAAAGTAGTGTAATGGAGAAATTAGTAACTAGTATATATGGGTGTCAAATCACTAAAGTAGTCATCATATCATTACCATCAATCAGTAGAGAAATCATATAATTAGTTAAACCAAAAGCTCAATAAAAACTATAAGAACTATATCAATATAGTAAAACCTTAGAATAATCTACACATGATATAAATATGTCACATGCTCAGCATATTACGTGCTTAGTATGTCACATACTTAGTATCAGTATAGTGAATTAATAGTATCAAATAATATCGATTTAGGTATATCAATAACAGTAAAATAATATAGCAATAGTAAATTTGTACAGTAATAATAATACGTACATTAATAAAATAATATCTCAATTGCATACATTTCAGTAGTCAGATTAAAGAAGTAAGGAATTTTGGCTTAATTGGTATTTTTTCAGTATCGTATCAGTATTAGTAAATTGTTAACTCGGTAAATAGAGTCATCACTCTTTATCCATCGGCACAATAATTATCTCCTTATAAATTTAAATCAGTATCACGTGAAGCAATAGAGGATAATATCAAACTATAGTATTTAAAGAAAAGCCCGTTGACCCACAATCTTGTACAAGTCAATCAGTCTCCAATTAACATCAATGAATAACTAATCTTTATTTATTTTTTTCCCTCACGCACATTATTATTATCGTCATATTATAATAGTGATATTGATCACTTATTACTCAATCACATATCCACATTAATTTTTAATGAATTGTAGTAAATAAAGTATAATTGAGCTTAATTCAAAAAATATCATAACAGTAGGCAATAGAAAATTCTACTGAGCATAAATTTATATTTTCAGAAATTAATTAAATTTCTAGAGATCATATATAACAACATTATGTAATTTTAATTGAACTAAAATATTATATTTATGTCAAAATAAAATTTTGATTTAGTAAAAATTACTGATTTTTTAAAATCACATAGTAAAAAAGTTTTAAAGAATACTCAAAATATTTATAATATCAATATGTCTAACATATAAAAAATTACGTGGTGAAAAATTTATTAAAACAAAATTATCCTCATTTTCAATAACGAAAATTTAAATTTGATCAAAATAAATTCTACAGATACTAAATTATTGAAATCAGAAATAAGATAATGATTCCTAACAATGAGATGTGTAAATCTCCTAATAGGATCGATCTATGAAAATAACTCAACGACCTCTAAATCCTAGGTCTCATTTTCTCTCTCCCTCTATTTTCTCTCAAATATCACTTTTACTCTTTTTAGCCAAAGGATTAAGGGATTTAATTGTTTTTAATGGATTATGTTAAGTGATTTTAGATATTTATAATAAAATAATAATATAATATCAATTTAATTATAAAATTTAATCAATTTTTAGCATAAAATTCATAATTCGTTAGGTTACTTCATCTCCCCATCATGTTTTTGGCGCCATTGTCAGGGAAGAATTTACTTTATTTGCAAATTTACTATATTATTGAATTAATTATATAATTAATCATATTATATTCTTTTATTCTTTTTATTTTAATTTTATTGATTACATATATGTGGTTGCATGCTTTCAAGACATAAAGGGGAGGCACATTTAAATTTTAATTCTAAAATTAAAACCAACATAAAGATTTTTTAAATGACCAACCTTGTTCAAAACTTAGATCATTCTATACCTCTTAAGGCTTTTGCAAACCCTTTAGCTGATGGAATAAACAAAGTATAAATAGACTCGCATTCATGCAAATAATTTTGAATTAAAACCTACAATTATTCAGATGGTACAAAATTCTTAGTTTGGAGGAACTCTTATTAAAAACTCTAACATACATTTAGGAAGTTTCTTAGAAATTTGTGTAATATTTAAGTATAATGGTGCAAGTAATGATATCATTAGACTTATATTATTCCCATTTTCTCTAAGAGACAAAGCAAAATATAATTAAATTCTTTACTCTCAGGCTCTATTATCATATTGAATGAGTTAACCCACAAATTTTTATGAAAGTATTTTTCCCCTTCTAAGACTGTCAAGCTTTGAATGACATTACTTCTTTTACTCAGTTAGAAGGAGAATCTATTTATGACGGTTGTGAGAGATTCAAGGAGATGCTTAGAAAGTGTCCTCATCATGCTTTACATGATTGGTTGATAATTCAAACTTTTTACAATGGAATGGCATGATCCCTTAGAGTCATAATTGATGTTGCAGTTAGAGGTTCTTTGATACCAAAGCCTTTTGAAAATGCTTATGAATTAATTGAAGAAATGTTAACAAATAATTTTCAGTGGCTTACATATAGACGAATCCTAAAAGAGTGGTTGAGATTTTAAGAAAAGATTATTTATCTATTTTGACAGCTCAAGTTGATGATATTTCTAAAAAATTGGATGAATTGAAGGTTAATAGTGATCTTAGGAGATATAGAGTTGTTGCGTCAAGATATATAGCGTTGCCCCACAGAACCTGAATAAACATATCATGCAAGGAATATGAAGGAATCCTTAGAATATATTATTCTCAAGTTAGAAACACAAATGAATAATCAATCTAATGCTTAAAAAAATTGAAGGTCAAATAGGGCAATTAGCTCTGCTAATTTATTATCAAAACTTAGTAAAACACTGTCATAATATACAACTTAGAAGTAGGAACGGATTAGGAAACCCTTATAAAGAGAAAGACAAAAAATGTATAAAGTAATTTTTAAAAAATATATCTAATGTTTATTGATTTATTCTTTTACATATGATATGTAAAAAGACAAAGTCTGAAATATGATTTAAAGCCATTTCCCATGTGCTCCACCCAACAGTAAAATCTTTATTAGATGAATAAAAGTCCTATAGCAAAAAAAAAAAAAAAAAAAAAAAAAAAAAACAATTTAAGAAAATTTTTAACTAAAAAGCTATTTTAGAAAGTATTAATTATTAAAATCAAAGCCCTTCAAAATTGATTTAAACAGGCTTAAATTTGAATTGGTTCTTACCTTGGTTGAAATCAAGGTTTGGACATTTACTTGAGTAGGTTCAAAGTGGGATCACGAAATTCAAATTGGACTCAATGACTTTTGTTGTTGCACTCCCATCGATGTTTAGCCCCAACGATTTACATGTCACTTGCACGGTCAATTCTTGGTCCCATTGAGCTATTTTCAAGAATTTTTAGTCCATCACATGTTATCGATTTTTTCAATGCCTACTTCTATCGAGCTCTCAAATGAATTATTTCTTCACAAAGCATTGATCATGTTCATGCCTTGCCTTGGTGTGCTCCTCTTCTCCTTCATATGCCATAGGTCTCCAGTCCATGCATTGTCTAGTACTACGAGCTCTTGTCATGAATGCCTCCACACATCATTAGTTAAATATTCTCCTTTCACATAAATATCTCCCTCACAAATAAAGATTAGAATGAATTACAAGTCAAATGAATAATATGCGAATGCAAAATGTTATCTTTCATTGGGGTAGTTTCCTTCAAAATGAACATTCCGACTCATTTCTCTAAATAAAAATATTATCCGAAAATTCATTCAATTATGAGTGGTATCATGCATAAAATCCAATTCTTTTTTTAAATTAGTTAAATCTCTAAATTTTCCATTTGCATATCATGATACTTGGAAATTAAAACAAATTTATATTTTTTAAATTAAAGACAACTAAATTATTAAAATCCTTAATCTTCACACTAATCCTCATAATTACTACACCAATCCTTATACCTAAATCTTATAGATTTCATTGAATCATAATAAAAACTACTACTAACAAATAAAAAGGAAAAAAAAATGATGACCTATCTAAGAAAAAGAAAAAAAAAAGTTTGGGTTTCATAAGATTCACAATAGAATCATTGCCATTCGACATAAAATATAAGCCGCTTTGAATTTGCCATTCGACATAAAATATATGCCGCTATGAATCACAAAATTAAAATAAAAAAATCATTAATCTACAAGCTCATAAAAAATAATTGCTCAAATTTGAAATAGGGTAAGAGCAAATATATTTTTTTCATTAAAAATCACACTAAGATAACAAATAGCTCCAAAAAATTCTCAATCATAATCAAGCTCTCCCTTCTAGAAAAAAAAATCAAAATATTATAATACATTTTATATCAAAAAATACTAATTATATATTTATATTTTAGTTCATACGTCACATATTATCTCAAATAATTACATTATTAAAAAAATAAATATAATTAATTATTAGATTCTAAAATAAAATTATTAGACATTTAAAAATATAATTATAATGAAAAAAAATGAGATACAATTTTCTCAAAAATATACAATTAAAATATTAAACAATAAAAAGATATACGCATAATAAGATAATGCCCCACCTAATACGACATATATCAAAAAATTCTGAGAGTTATTTTTCAACAGTAGTCGTCATCATCACTGATATGCATCCGCCAACAAAAGCTTTGAACGCCATTCAGACGACGGCTACTTCGCGACGAGTTATTTACTGTTACGGTGTAACGTTGAAGCTGTAAGGGTTGTAAGAATTTAATAATACAGAGGATTAAGTCCGCCATTTAATTATTTTTAAACGCAAATGCTTTAATTGTTTGAAGGAAAGGGCCATATAAGCGCGAGCGGCATCACGCCTCGGAAACATTGCTTCCACTTTTCAACACCCGCCGTCTCTTTCTACTGTGTTTGGGGGCTAGAGAGGGAAGACTCCGCATGCTGAAACCCTCAAAGTTGTCATCTTTTCCGGTGGTAGGCTTCGGAAGCTGTGGGATTTCCGCTTCTTCTTCTTGTTTTAGTAGCTTTTTGTTGCTGCTTTTAGTGAAATGCTAATCGGGGACTTGGTTCTCTTTTGATAGTTTTTGTCAGATCTAGCGAAGGGTTATCTTCACTGACAACAGGAATTAATGTCTCAGGGATAGGCAGTGAAGCATGCTTTGCATGGCTTCCGATTTTGTTAGGATAGCGCTTTCTAGATGCATTTATGAATTTGTGTCTTTTGCTGAATCTGTCTTTCTTACTTTTTCTTATGGGAAAGAGTCGAAAAAAAGGAAATTTTAAGCTTTCATTAAAAAAAAAAAGGGTTAGATAGTAGTTAATTGAGCGCTTGAGTAGCTGCTTCCGTCTCCTGAACTGCTCAATCATTGCTACAGTTCTGTTTGAGCTATTTTTTGTAGAATTATTGACTTCCAAATTAACTGTAAAGTTTGGTAGTGCTCAAAAAAATTTTTTTTTCTGTTGGTATCAATAGTTGCGACATCACTAAAGTATGAGTATCGGTTTTTATTTTTTGGCGTTGTAAATTACAGTGTTTCAGAGATAAGGATAATGGATTTATAAATTTCTAGAGACCAAAGGTTATTTCTCTATAATGAAATCTTCATGTTCTTAGGGCATGTCCAATCTTAAAACCTATTTTTCACTTCAAAATATATTATCAAACAGTAATTCATTTCCAACTGAACTCCATTTCTAAATAAAAAAAAAAAATTATGTGTACATTCTTTCTCATCTCTATTTATATATATATTTTTTCTAACATAAAAAAACGGGTTCTGAATAGTGCGATGTCAATATTGGCTTCACACTATTCACAAGCAAGATAAATTGCAAAAATGCGTTTCTATTTTCCATTCGAGTGGACGCTTGTTGGAGCTGCAAAACAGATGAATGATGTTCGGTTGAGATGCCTTTATGATGAAATTCTTGCTAAACAAAGAGTTTGCCTATTGTTTGTTTTTTGTATTTTTTTTCTATTGTCTAGTTGTTGATGTTGACCGCAAATCCTTATTTACATCTAGTAGACCTTTACTAAATATTCTAATTTTTTATTACTTGGGATGGATATCAGAAAGTTGGTATTTTTTTGCCAACTTCTACTTCTGTGATTGTCCTCTCATTTTTGCATGTAACTCTCACAATACCATGAATCACATCATATTATGAATGAAATGATTGATTTTATTCATTTCCATTGCATGTAAACCGTAAGAGTGGTGAATGCATTGAACAACATGTCTAACCCGTTTATTATATGTATCATATAATTTTTGGATCAACATTACCCAATTTATCCGAATTTGATCCATTTAACCCAAGTAACATTACACGAACATGCTTAATCAAAACTAAAATATTAATCAGGTTAATTTCAAGTTAATTTTGAGCTATTTGGGTCAACCAAACTTGATCTGAATAATAATCAAATATATAATTTAGACTTGAACTCGACCTGAATGGTAATCGGGTCAACTTGAGCTTGAATTTTTCGGGTTGGGTTATCGGGTCAGGTCATTTATTGACACCCCTAAATTTATATAATTAACTACATACTTATGAAAAAGAAAAAAAAGATATATAAAATAGCTAATACAAGATATAAGGATCTATAGGCTTCAATGAAGTTAGATGCATTAGAGAGTAATAAGATTTTAGTTAAAGAAGAAGATCATCGAGAATAATTAAAAAATATTACTCTGACAAATTATTAAATAGGAGTTTAAAAAATTATGTTGGAAGAGTATAATGAACAAAAATTTTATGGAATATTATATACTGATCTAAAAATCAAAGTGAAATTAGCTATAAAGAGGATGCATACAAATAAAGCTTTTAAGTTCAGATGAGATAATAATTGGGACTTGGAAAATTAGGTAGGATTAGGATACTATAGTGGTTTTGCTTAAAAATCTTTTGAAAACTTAGAGGATGACAAATGATTGGAGAAAAATATTTGGGTACAAATCTTATAATAAAGGAAATGTTTAAAACTGCACTAATTATAGAGGAATCAAACTTATGTGATATATTATTATGCTATGGAAGAGAGTAATGAAAAATGAACTTGAAATGCTTCATAGAATCTATTTAGTGTAGGATTCTAAAAAAACTTTAAATGGTTAGGATAATGCTAATGATGGTGTGATGATTTTGTTTGAAAAATACATGAGCTTAGATCATATAAACTTATATTGATTAATATTTTTCATTATCATTCTGCACCTTTGCAGGTGAAAAGGACCTTATTGGAGCACTGTTAGTTGTATCATCCCAACTTGAATTATCTTAAGCTCAATGCAAAGGACTAATGGAGAACAATATATAGTTCTACGGAGTGGAAGATGAAGCTTGCACAGGTTCACCAAAAATTCAATGTAGTTTGTTTAATTTGTAATTATTGATTGCTTAGATTGTGACATCTATTTAACCACTCATAGCTACTCTTAGCTAACTATTTCATGGAAAAAATAATCAACGATCATTCATGCATGACAAGACAAATTGAGCAAGATTTTTCAGAAAGCCCATGGAATGTGATTTGTTGTTCTTCTTTTTTCGTTTTGTTGTTCTATTGTGGTTGTTATCATCTTGGCCTTTGTTATCTAAACCTGCCAATTTTGAACCTCTATATCATCTTGGCCTTTGTTCTCTTGTGGGTATTTCCTATCAATCTTCGGAAAACAACGAGAATAACGCTTCTAAACTCCAATGAAAACCATAATAAACAATTAGTTTTTATTGCACTAATCAAAGATATGGAAGAAAATAGCAAGATACAGTTGATGCTCAATTCGAGAGGAGGATCGATCTCTCCCAAATTCTCTAGACACCGCTAGAGTCCAAAGGAAACCTAAACCTTAGAAATCTCAAATTTCAACCAAATTCAAGATGCCCTAACCCTAGGAAAACAAAATATTTAATGCATACAGCTCAAAAGAAAATCTCTAAACAATCCTTACATTCAATTTCCCTCCTAAACTCCCTTCAAAAATCTTCCTAAACGGCTCTATGAGGATCTCGGTCGGATTGCGCGTACAGGAAGAGGCGGACTCTTCCGCCTTTGTTCAGCTCGGCCGTCCCGCGTGGACCGGCTGAATCGGTCTAACAATACTCCCCTCCCAAAGATCCACCTTATCCTCAAGGTGGAATTATGGAAACTGCAGCTAAACCACTTGATTAATGGAACTGGACTAAAAAATGTATTGATACTGGGTTAAATGCTCCCTGCCTCTAGCATCTCTCTAATCAATCTCTCGATCTTATCCTTCTGGATTTGGGGATGACGATATGGATGAACAATGATAGGTGAAACTACTTCCTTCAAGATGATAACATGCTCGTGTTCCCGCAGAGGAGGCAACCCCTAAGGCGACTAAAAAACCTCTCTAAACTGCTGAATCCATATTTGTACTAAAAGAGGAATGTACCCACCCTCCTCCAATCTGATCCCATCCAGCCTATGTAGTTCAATCAGATAATCTTCCCCCACTTCCTGTATTCTCCTCACATTGGTTTTAAGTGATATCATGACTTTGGTGAGCCCTGCATCTCCCCTGATCACTACTCTTCTCCCCAGTTGATCTTGGTGTCCCCCAAGGTTTGCAATCACTTCATCCCCAAGATGACATCAGTTCTTCCTAACTCCAATGGGAGATAATCCCCCTTCACCTGAACCCCCTATATGGTCAACACTACTCCCATACATATCCCCTAGCTCGTCTCTACCTTCTCTGTACCCATCCTAATTCCATAACACCCTGTATCCACCCATGTCACCCCCAATTAGTCCACGACCTGGTTGGAGATGAAATTATGGGTAGCCCCACTGTCAATCAACACCACCACCTCCCTGTCTGTTATTTTCCCCTTCATCTTCATGGTATGATTCAGAGTGAATCCCACCATTGAATTCAGGGAGACCTCCATCACGTCCAAATGCAGCTTGTTCTCCTCTCTTTCTCCCATCCTCTCACCTTCGTCCTTAGTTTCCTCGCCATCACAGTCGGTGAGAACTTGAAGAGTTCGATCCCGATACTTGTGCCTTGGAGTATATTTCTCATCACATTTGAAGCATTGTCCCTTCGCCCTCTTCTCCTGCATCTCCCTCTCCATCAGTCTTTTGAAGTTCCCCCCACTTCCTTCTCTTGCTGGATTCTCCTGGGGAGTCTCATTAATGTTAACTAATGCAGGCCTCTTGAGTGCTAGAAGAGTGGTCGTCATCCTGTAAGAGCCTCCTGAGCTGCTACTCCTGGCTCCCCTCTCTAGATTCCTCTGATTTTCAACTAGCTGTGCCAACTTCATGGCCTCCCCCAAGTAATGAGGCATCAGAACTTTCATTGCTTCTCTGACCTCTGTCTTCAGCCCCTTCATGAAGTCCCCCTCCAATATAGTATCTGATAATCGCTCCACCATACTAGCCAGGTGCTTAAACTGCTCACGGTAGTCTGCTACTGATCCCTCTTGCACTAGAGCAAAGAACTGCTCATAAAAATCTCCTCCCCGGTCGGTTTGGAAATGTTTTATTATGCAGTCCTTGAATTCTCCCCAGCTCCTGATGGGTCTCCTCTGGTACCATGACAGTGCCTTCCCCTCCAAACATAAGCCAGTTGCTGTCAGCTTCTCTTCCTCCGTTAACTCATTGATAGCGAAGTATCTCTCCATCTTATAAATCCACCCATACGCATCTTTCCCTTCGAATATGGGCATATTCAGCTTCCTCACCTACTGATCTCCCCCGTTTCCCCTTATTCCTCCATAGCTTCCCCTTTCCCACTTGCTTGGCCCTCCCCACGTCTCCCGGTTTTCCCTTTGCCCTTTCATAACCCAAACCCCCTTCAAATTCCCCTCTCATTCTTTTAAAATCAGCACCTCGGCGGCCATAATATCCCTCTCAGCGTTCCCAATCAACACCCTTTTGCTCCGCCCCTCCATACCCATGCCTTTCCCCATACCTACCTCCTCTATCCTCCCTCTGGAAAGGCTCCATATAGGGTTTTCTTCTTTCTCCCTCCACGATCTCCACTTCATCTTCCTCCCTACGAATTTCAGAATTTTTGTTCTTCCCTTCCAACCCTTTTGCTACGGAAGCCGCCGTTTGGTTGTGGATTTCTAACATTTTTTTCATCATGTCTCGGAGATCGGTAACTAGTCCTTCCATGGAGGAAATCCTATCCTCCACCATTGTCTTGATTTGATTCATCTCCCCTTCAAGTCTTTCTTCTAGCGCATCCACTTTCTTGGTCGCCATCTCTATCCGGATTTTTGTAGATTAAAAAAATTTGATTTTGGATTTGAAAAACAACAGTTTTCTCTTTCCCCAGCAAAAATTCAACCACCGAAATTTGCCAAATCTGCCCACTAAAAGTTCCAAGTCTTGCTCTGATACCAATTTGATAGGAAACACTTGTAGATCTCAAGTATTTCCTATCAATCTTCAGAAAACAACAAGAAAACGCTTCCAAACTCCACTGAAATTTTTTTTTTTATTGTAATAATCAAAGATACGGAAGAAAATAGCAAGATACAGTTGATCCTCAATTCGAGAGGAGGATCGATCTTTCCCAAATTTTCTAGACGCCGCTAGAGCCCAAAGGAAACCTAAACCTAAGAGATCTCAAATTTCAGCCAAATTTAAGATGCCTAACCCTAGGAAAATAAATTATTTAATGCATACATTTCAAAAGGAAATCTCTAAACAGTCCCTACATTCAATTTCCCTCTTAAACTCCCTTCAAAAACCTTCCTAAATGGCTCTGTGAGGATCTCGGTTGGATCGCACGTGCAGGAAGAGGAGGACTCTTCCGCCTATGTTCCGCTGGGCCGGTCCTGCGTGACTCGCATATTATTGGTTGTGGATAGATTGTTGTTTGGAACTCTAAACCCATGCAGTACTTATGTAGTTTTTCAGATTCTCACCATTAGCTTTCATGTTAGAATTGGGGAAACGTAAGTATTAACATTAGGTCAACCTTCTTTTGAGGAAACATATTAAATTCAACCTTCTTTCATATAATATTTGTGATATAACTGAATCAATTATATAAAAACAAAATGCTACTTGTTAAGGAATATGAATGTAGTTTAGTCTCTCATTGGAATGTTGAAATAATGTATTGGCAGTAAATTTGTTGAGATACCTAAATGCTTTAGCTTATGGGTGAAGTACACATCCTTCAACCAATATATTTTGCCTAATTTGGCTCTTTACTGACTCAAACAAGTGGTATAACGATTAAAACTGACAAATTGTTGTCCTCATGATCTTTGATCAATTCTCTTATGGCTTAGCAACTCTTAATTAAATTCTACAATGGCACCAGTGGTGTGCGAATTCATTCATGTGATTTAATATATGAAACCCAATTGAATTGTAAAGTTTCCTATATGAGAGGAAAATTATGACCGGTTTTATAGGGAGATAACAAAGCCGGTGAGGTATAAGGTTTGAAAAATGATGATTAATCTTTATTCAAATACTCATTTTTTCTTGTTCAGATATGTTAACCACTACTTGGACTAAAAATTTATTGACACATAACTTGAAAAAGTTCATTTATCCAAATGTATTTTTACTACATTAGTTTAAGAGTAAATTTTAGATGTAACAATTCTAATTGCCTTACTAATATTGCCTACTCTTATGCAATAAGTACTAAATGCTTTGGAGTTTCCCTAATTTTCTTACCCTTATAACACTGTCATCATCATATCATCTCAACCCCTTATTATGTGGAATCAATTTTATTAATCGTTTGTGTGTTTTAGCTGTGGTTAGCTCAAATATATATAAATCTTCACACATAGTTTTGCCATGCTTTTTTCTTGCAATTTCTTTCACATTTATTCTATCTTCCCTTATTTATGGCTACATCTTTGCTCTTGATTTGTGAACATCTTAAAGTTTATCTTCTATAACTTTAGCTTCAATTGACTTTGCACCAGTATATTCCAATATAATCGATGCTCGAACCTCTTAAAGTTTATCTTTTATAATTTTAGCTTCAATTGACATTGCACCAATCTATTCCAATATAATCGATTCATAACACCTTTGACACCAGTATGAGGTCGATTCCATAGGCATTCGAGATTCAATGGTTTTAGATGAAGGATCCTATAACCTTTCAGATCACCAAAACACTTTTTTGCCGTGTTCTACTAGACAAAAACAGAACAAAACTGTTACTTTGAAGAGGGAGTCTTTATTGGAGACTTTGAATATCTATTTCCCTTGCTGCTTGCTGATATTAACTCAGGATGGAATAGATTGATAAAAGAAGAGGTTAAAGTTCCCTCGATGTTTCTTTACCTTATAGCAATTGAATTGAAGCAATGGGCAGTACTTTTGATGTGATGGTTTCAAGAGGGCAAGATC